GCCATTCACTTCAAGCATTACAGTATTCTCGGAATTAACTGACAGTTACTTTCTCAGATAGAGCATCGATATAGCCTCTGGTGCTTTTGCCCCATTGACAGACTCATCATGGTGACTCAGCATCCTGAGCACGAAAGGCGGGACGCTACAGAAGAGGAGATCAAAGAGCTGCGGCACGTTGTAGATTCAGTTCCCTTGGCTGTCTGGGTCGCACTCGTTGCTAATGCTACGGAGAGGTTCACATTCTATGCCGTGACAACGCCATGGCGTACGTATCACCAATCCAGTCTGAACTTTGTATGCTCCATGATTGCTAACTTACATTTCGTGCAGAGAACTACATACAGAATCCCGCTGATAGCGTCGCCGTTCCTGGCGCTTTGGGACTGGGGCAAGCAACGGCTACAAACATTACGAGTGCATTTCTCTTCTTGAGTTTTCTTCTCCCGACTGTTTGGGCTATCATCTCAGACACGTGGCTGGGGCGTCACAAGACGCTCTGTTTGAGCTACTTGTAAGTGCGCACGCATTCTTGACGGTCAAAGGCGATCATTACTGAGAGGCGAGTGCAGTTTGAACTTTTGCGGATGTTTGATCATCTTTGTTACGTCGCTCCCAGCCTTCGGCCATTCTCAGATCACTAAGGTGGTAGGACTGGGGTTCGCGATGATTGTCCTTGGAATCGGCACTGCTGGTGTCAAGGCGACCGCCTCCCCATTCATAGGTGACCAATACGCAGAAACTGCTCCTCAAGTCATCACCACAAAGAAAGGGGAGCGCGTTATTGCAGACCGGGCGCTTACACTTCAGTATATTTACAATGTGTCGTACTGGTAAGAAGTTCTGCGACAGTCACAAGACACAGAACTGACTGACACTCTGACTGCAGGTTCACCAACATAGCAAGTTTATCGCTCGTTGCATCCACCTATTTGGAGAAGCTAGTGGGATTTTGGGCTGCTTATTTGCTACCTCTTTGCGCGACCTGGACACTGGTACCTCTACTTCTAATCTTTCACAAATCACTTGGTACGTTTTCTCCAACTCTGAGCTGGTCTTGATCTCTAATAAAGTAAGTCAAACAAAAACCCCAAGCAAATATCCTTCCACGCGCTTCCCGAGTTATCGTGTGCGCGGGGAGACACAAGTTCAACTGGGAAGCTGCTACACCCGTTTATCAGTCCGAGAGGTTTGGCCGCCAGGTCGAATGGGATGACAAATTTGTCTTTGAGATCAAGAGAGGGCTGCAGGCTTGCAAGGTGATGTGAGTTCTTCCACCCTTGGTGAGCGGGTTTCTTGAATGTCCATGCTCATCGATATCAGGGCCTGCTTTGTGCCATTCCATCTCTGTATGAATCAGATTACAAACAATCTTGTTTCACAAGCAGGGCAGATGAGGCTCGGTGGGATCCCCAACGATACAATCCAAGCTCTAAACTCTATCGCTTGCGTGCTACTGGGACCAATCATGCAGAAATTTGTTTATCCCATCGTCCGTGGTCGGGGATTCGCTTTTGGCCCCATTGCGCGTATTACGTGGGCTTTCATTATGATGAGTACGGCAATGGCATATGCTGCTGGTGTTCAAAAGCTCATCTACACCAAGGCGCCTTGCTACGATAAGCCCTTGCAGTGTGAAAAGTCGCCTAACGACGTGAGTGTCTGGATCCAGTCGCCCGTCTACTTTCTCCTCGGAGTCGCCGAGATTTTGGGCTTTACAACTCTTGCCGAGTACAGCTATTCTGAGGCACCTAGGAACATGCGCAGCTTGGTACAAGCCATGGCCCAGCTGAGTTCGGGCGCTGGCTCTGCGCTTGGGATGGCATTCTCGCCATTGTCAAAGGATCCTCAGATTCTCTATCTCTATACGGGTTTGTCTGTAACAATGATTACCACGGCGCCTACCTTCTGGCTCATGTTTCGTGCGTATGATGATAGAGTATTTGAAGAGGCACACTCGAACGATGATGGAAGTAATCAGGCGGCAGAGCCAATGGTTTCTGGACCGTCTGATGCTACCGAAACTGGAGAAAAGGCTGATGGTGCTAAAACATCTCCCTAAAATGCTCAACTAGTATAGTTCATTCCAGCCATTTCGCAGAAGCCGAGCAATTATTTCAACCTGCATTTAAGGCTAGCCATCATGCGCAATCTGATCACTTTCGTGTTAGAAACACATGTTGTTGGCTGGAAAACAAAGTATGACAAATGGCACTGTTGCATAATTTCTTACGTTGTATGACTGTACCATGAAGCGTTGTTGCACACCGACAATTCAAGAAAAGGCCACTTGCAGTGAGGCCATAAGTGTCTCGGGTATATTAGTCATTCCGTAAGCATATAATCTCCTTTTCCCCGGTAAGCTTCGCTTTCAACTCGCACAAAAACAACTCACTCTAAACACAGTATCCAATCCGCTCTCTGCACAGACACCATGACGTACGACCGCCCTGCACCAACCACCGATGGATCGGCTTTGTTATCCACGTTTGATGCCTTGACCAAATCCGGGCTTGTTCTCTACGATGAAAGCCAGAAGGTTATTGAACATACAGACGGGGACCTGAAGGTTCGCTCCGTATGCCAAAGCTAAAACCGACCATAGAAGCCGCTAACATCTACACAACTGGCATCTAGTTCCACTTTATTCTTACCAAAGCTCTTATCAAGAAGCCGACCTTATCTACACCAGACCAGTCATCAGCATCCGGAAACGGCTTATCGAAACAACTCACCCCTGGTAGCGATATTGATACAAATGGGTTTGAGATGGGCCACAGTGAGAGTAGCACTCACTTTCTTATCGCCAACAAATTTTGCTTCTCACGACCTCACCTCATGATGCTCACTCGCGACGGGTATTGTAGGCAATATGAGCCTCTGAACAAGACCGACTTTGAAGCTGCGTGGGGCACTCTAGCTTCCTTGAACGACGCAACAAAAGACTATGTTGTATTCTTCAACTGCGGCAAAGATGGCGGCTGTAGCAGACTGCACAAGCATGTGCAGCTGATGCCTCTTCCCGCCAGTGGTTTTGCGGTCGACTTTCTGAACTCAGATATTACCAAGGAACCAAAGGTACCTTTCGAATGGTTCTACCAACGATTTCAAGACAGTACCGTCTCAGCTTCGCAAGTGGCCGAGACTTATCTAAAACTTCTCCAGCACGCGACGGAAGCTTGGAAAGCTAGCACTGGAAAGGATGTACTAGATGGACAGGCGTGCCCGCACAATGTAGCTTTCACGTCTCGCTGGATAGTTGTTATCCCTCGTCGTAAAGCGGCTGTCAACAAAGAGGCCGGCGTGAATTCTTTGGGTATGTTAGGGATAATCGCCGTGGCTACCGAGAAGGAGATTGAGAACTGGGTGAAACTTGGTCTGATAAATTCGCTCAGTGAGCTTGGAGTTTCGAGAGGTGTCGGTGTAATTTAAGGAAAGTGATCACTGGTTCCTATCTAGATATGCAAGGCTCGTTATAATGATTTATAACTGCGCGGGATTTTGAAGTTATGTTTCCGCGGCAAAGAGTTCCAAGGCCAGGCCCAAGTATATTCCAGGCCTGCAAGACATCAGAGTAATCTCCAATTGGACAATCGGACTCGTCGCACTCACGAAATCGGTGACGTAGGCTTGCTATTCGGAACTCTCGGGTGTTCATCAAGGTGTCAGGTTACACGTACCACTGGGCTTTCAAGCGTCTATAAAATGGCGCTTACTTTACGCTAAACTCTCAGGAGAACAAACACCATAATCACAATGACTTTCAAACTAATACTTCTTCGACATGGTCAAAGTACCTGGAATGAGAAGAACCTGTTCACTGGATGGGAAGACGTGGGTATCACTGAGAACGGTCGCGCTGAAGCAACACAGGCTGGAGCGCTCTTGAAGAGACACAACCACCTACCAGACTTGAGCCATACTTCGCTACTGCGACGTGCAATCACAACAAACAATATTGCACTCGATGCGGCTGACCGCCACTGGATTCCCGTAACGAAAAGCTGGAGACTCAATGAGCGCCACTATGGTGCATTACAAGGTCTCAATAAAAAGACGACGGCAGAGAAATACGGTGATGAGCAGGTCAAGATTTGGCGGCGCTCTTATGATGTCCAGCCGCCACCAATGTCTGATGAGACCTACCAGAAGCAGCAGGCGCATGCGCGATCGCAGGACCAATCCATCCAACCGCCAAGAACAGAATCGTTGAAAGATGTAGTGGCACGCGTGGAACCGTATTGGAAGGAGCGCATCATTCCTGACCTGAAGTCTGGAAAAACTGTGCTTGTTGCGGCTCATGGGAATTCGCTTCGTGCACTGGTAAAGATCATCGATGGTTTGGGAGATGAAGAGGTTGTGGAGCTGAATATCCCTACAGGGACACCTATTGTCTATGAGTTCGATGACAGTCTGCAGCCAATAGTGAAAGGTGGCGAGTGGCTTCAAGAGTAATAATCATAAGGAATATTAGATTATGAGGCCTAATAATCCATATACAGTAGCCTAACTATCAAGAGTCTGACGGATAAACGGGGCTAGTGCCGACTTTACAAAATGGGAGACAAAAGCAAACGATAGAAATAATGTCTGTGATGGTTTATTTAAGGAACCTTTTGCTGCATATTGTTGCTGAGAGAGGAATTCATGGTAGGGCAATGGCTTCATATATAATTGTATCGTCTTAACCCAGCAAAAGCTTTGCATAATTCACTTCTAGTTCATTTCCTCATATCCGCAGTACTGTATACTATCCCCCAACACACCAGCACAGACATTAACTATTTCTGTTCTTTGCCCTCAATTTTCACTCGAACCAATTGGCTATCTCCCCAATTCCCCATATATTTATAAGGGGGTCAATGCGGCAAACCCTACAGGGAAGTTTATGACGGCGGCTTGTGGCCAATGGGCTGTAATGAGTTCGACGACGGTCTGTAGCCAATGTCAAAGCGCGGCCGCGGGCTTAAAGAGTAATAGCTATAATAATAAAATCAATTTTAATTCTGAAATGAACTATTAAGCCCTACTAGAAGAATATAAATAGTCTCCAGCCTTGGTACTGCTATATTATACTCTTGAGCATACTTTACAATACCCCCCAGTATTGCTTCAACCTCCATCTCTCTTCCTGTATTCATATCTGCCATCATGCTCGGCTCTACTCCAGGGTAATCCCGCACACGAGATCGGCCCATCTGGAAGGCAATCGCCTCCTCATTTGCATATTTCGAATACCCACCAGCCGCGGCAACGGTGCAAATCTCACGCATAATATCGTTGACGACTTGCAAAGTCAGGGGACATGCCGCCAGAAGTTGCAGGTCGCGACAGCGAGATAATGCACAGAGGGGGTTCCAAGTCCCATTGGCCACGATCTTCTTCCAGCGCTCCCCTTGGATGTCGTCGCAGTCGCTTACGGTCGCTCCGCCAGCTCGGAGAAGAGTAGATACCCCTCTCGCAAGATCGTGCTTCTCTCCAAAAGGCGATGGCCCCAAGTAGAGTCTTTCAACCTCGGTGTGCTTCACGGAAGTTGGGGAAGTCCGGGAGGTGGGCATGTAAACCACGCCTGAGACGATTTGGGCGTGAGGGTACTCTTCGTGATAGTCTTTCTCTATCCCAATGCCATTCTGTAGAAGCACAACTGAAGTGGTGGTGTTATTGAGCACGGGCCTAAGGCTTTGGACGCTTTGCAGTTGGGTTCCAGGGAATGATTTGGTAGTCACAACAACGTAGTGAAAGGGCTTGCCTGAAGTCCGGGCTGCTTCGTTGACAGATGACACTACAACGGGATATATAGTCTGGTTGCCAAACAATTGAGACTTGAGCTCCAGACCAGACGCTTTTGCCTCGGCATAGTTGGAACGGCAGACGCATACGACCTCAGCGCCGGCGCGAGTGAAGAGGACAGAATAAACGATGCCGATGCTGCCAACACCAACAACCAGAATCCGTACCATGGTTGCGTGTAGATTGGAAACGAGCTGAGTGAGAGGCCATTTATTGTCTTCGTATCGCATCAGGACTTTTATTCAGGGCGTGGACAAGTTTCAACTGAAGTAAGCAAAGGCGGTTACGGTGCGGCTCTCCACATTCGATCTTCTCCACATCCCGCAAGGGAGGCGTATACTATAGGTAGGCAACAAGAGGCTCAGAGATAATGGCCGGCCAGTATCGTATCGAAACACGAGTTTCAAATGAATTACGACGTATAAATAAGGACACTGTCATCATTATCGTAATGAGCTAAGCTAGACTGCTACTGCTACGGCTTAGGCTTGCACTGCTCCTTTAGCTGCCAAGCGTCACGCATGACGTTGTTAGCATAGCTGTATTCTTCAAGATCCTGTTGAGTTTCTGGGCACCGCCTATTAGAAAATTTTCAAATCACGTAACGCATTGGTAGCTTACGTGGAATCTTGCCGTTGAAAAATCGCTTCTCGCTTTCCCTGAGCTTGGCGGGATCCCACTGGTGCATCGACGAAATTACCTGCGTAGACGCGACACGAGGAGCGCGGAGCTTGCTAAACAATTCTAGTCTCGGATATACATCATCTTTAGAGTCTAGGTCCGAAAGGAGAACGCCCAAAGCGGCTGCGTCCTCGATTGCCATGGAGGCTCCTTGGGCTCGGGCTGCGGGAGTCAATTAGCACATGGCCAACAATGGCACGGGTTGGGACCTACTTGGAGGCATCGGATGGGCGGCGTCGCCAATCACGACGATTCGACCTTGGGCATACGTTTCGAGCGGCTGCCTAACGTACAGTGGCCATTGACCAACTATGCGTTCGCGTCTGAGTTAAATACGTCAGTCTGGTGCGCCCAAACCTCGCAGACTGTATTGAGATACCTGCAGATCGAGCGAATCGCGGGAGGAAAGTCGCCAACGACCCTATCATATAAAGTATCCGTTGAGTCTGCTCCGCTTCCTGCAATACTGGCAGTAAGTGTCATTTCGCGTGGCTATGTAAGCTCAATTACGTACGAGAATCAGTTCGAAGAGTATCGTCTCCGGGGTACAGAATCCCAATGTTTTGTAGGCTACCACTATTGATTATTAGCCTGTGCGCTGGTGAATGCGTGGGCATAAATAATACTGACTTCCGACAGCCATAAAAAACGGCGCTCTTGTCTCCGTGGTAGACTATCCTGGCGGAAGAATACCCGTCCCTGAATATGGCTAGAGTTTCTGTATTGTTTTCGAGCTCCTCCGTAGGAACCATGAATCGAAGCATAGACATCTTGTGTTCAGCATCGAGCTTATGACCAAGTATAGTCTGGAGAAAGGACGCCTGTCACAGGTCTTGGTGTCAGTCAGTCTGCATCGGCGCCAGATCAGATATCGTACATACCCGTATACCGTCCGCAGCGACAATCAGGTCCTTTTTGACCTTTGTGTTGTCTTCCAAGGTTACCGTACCGTCGATTTCAACGCGCGAAACTGCTGTTGCGAGATGGATCCGTGCTACTCGCGATCGGGTCGGGGTAGGTTCAGTAGCGAGTTTTCTCAGTTCCTGGTGTAAATCAACGCGGTGAAAGAAATAAAATGGTGCCTTGTACTTTGTAGCACAATGGGTAATTGGCATAGTGATGCTCTTGACCAAATCAGAGGAATCGGGGTAGAAGATGATCTAGGATTCTATGTTAGTATACCTGGGACACGACAAACATTTGCCTGTGTACTGTACATTCTCGGCTGCCGTGGCTTGCGAACGTTGCATATCGACTCCATAGTGATCTAGAATCCGTGTAGAGTTGGGTGGGGCCATGATGGCTGCTCCGACTTCATTCTTGAACTGAGATCTCTCGTAAATCTGATGATGACCTTAGCTTAGGTCATAGGAAATATTGGCGGTGGCATTTCGCATTCCAAGAGACGCACCTCAACGTCATGCCCAGCGTCAAGCAACGCAACGGCAGCCATTAACCCTCCTATGCCTGCACCAACAATTCCAACCTGTAAAGACTTGCCTGTTTTGCATTGTGATCCAGAGGATGACGATGGAAGCCAATACAAGTCGTCTTCAATATTCGGGGACGTTGCCATATCTGTTAATATCTACAGATTCAACAGTAATGTATGTAACTCTGAATGTATACTAAAGAAGGCTGCTAGGTCTTTTAGCAGAAACTATAGTAGATTCATTGAATCCATCCCCAATAAGCTTTGTATGCCATTTGTATCCCACTCTGGCGCCGTGCCATCTGCTGAACATAGACGGGCAAAGGGGTAGGGACCACAAGCCGGTGGGATACTGACAGCCGAGCCGGTGGCAGCGCAAGGCCCCCACCAACCGCGGTTCTAAAGCATCCGACATCGTTTGGTTCTCCGATGGGCGCAAAAGCTTTCCAGCAGTGACATGAGCACCCTCTGGGGCTCATATGGATGTTATAAGATTGACAAACAAACACTGGCTTTAGAAACGGCAAAGACAACCAAATACCAAAGAAGTCAAGGTACGCACGTTGTGCAACTTATGGAAGAGCAAGGTCTAACAATAATCTTAGATGCCTGTACAAATCATCAAATCTGTCGTCCCGCTTCACGTCGGGCAGTTCATGTTCGTGCGAATCGAAACCGACCAGGGAATCGTTGGCTATGGCGAAGCTGGAAACTGGGGACATATCGCTGCCGCAGGCACAGCCATCGAGCGATTTGCAGACTATCTCATCGGCAAAGATGCATTTCCTATCGAACACCATTGGAATGCTATGCACCGCTTCAGCTACTTTCAGGGCACGGCCATCAACGCTGCTATCTCGGCCATCGACATCGCCTTGTGGGACATCAAGGGACGTGCCTTGAACGTTCCCATCTATGAGCTTTTGGGAGGCATGTGCCGTGACAAGGCGAGGGTCTACTGCCATATTTACGAAAAGACCATCGATCTGGTGGTTGAGGAATGCAAGAAGAAGAAGGCAGCCGGGTTCACGGCATTTGGACACATCAACCCATTCCTAGATGAGGGTGTTGACCAAGTCTACTTCAAGCCGCACGTCAAGAAGATGAACGACGCAATTGCCAACGTCGAGAAGATGCGAGCGGCCGTTGGAGATGACGTTGACCTGCTCGTCGAGCTCCATCGTAGACTCACCCCGGCCGAGGCGATCACCTTCTCCAATGCCATCGAGCATCTGCGCCCCATGTTCGTCGAGGACCCCATCCGCCCTGAGAACCCCGACGCAATGGCCAGAGTCGCTGATCGCATCTCGGTTCCCATCGCGACCGGAGAAAGATTCAGCACCATCTACGAGTTCCAAGCGCTACTCTCTCGCAGCGCCATCGAGTTTGCGCGGGTGGACCTTGCGCTGTGCGGTGGCATCACAGGTGCAAAGAAAGTGGCAGCCATTGCAGAAGCCCACCATGTTCAAGTGGTTCCTCATAACCCGCTCTCGCCCATTGGCCTCGCGGCTTGTCTGCAACTTGCTGCATCCATTCCCAACTTTTCCGTCCAGGAGTTCGCAACAGGCTTCGAGGCGGGTGTTTTTCACTCGACTGATAAGCATCTTGGTCACGATATTGTCGACCATGTTCCTGCCGTCAATGATGGATTCGTTAACATTCCTCAAGGGCCTGGGCTAGGAGTCAAGCTGCTTGATAATGCTACCGAGATTAGGCCAGCGCTAGTGCAGCCTATGACCATGAGAGTGCACAAGGATGGCTTCATAGTTGACCAGTAGATATACAAAATAGATGTTTTCAATGATGATAGGTTACAGCGTGGATAACCCCTTTCATGTCTCTCAAGTGACATGTTGTTTGCAGTTGAGAGCCGTGGCAAAGAGTTTATACCAGCACACAGAACTTAGTAGCAACCATACTACTTCATGGAGCTGAGATCAATAAGTAAGCTATTTACAACATCAAGTCTTGATAAAATAGATCAGCTTTCTATATAGAACCATTCAAGCGCATTTCTCCATTTGCTTCACAACGAAGCCATACAATCATTTCCATCCTCCGTAGTGTTTCCCCTTGGCCCACTGGCCAATCGTGAGTTGAGTTTCTCCTTGATTCCTCTAAATTTGTATTAGTAAATGTGCATGAGTAAAGAGTCTCGCTCCAACGTTCAGCAAGTCGACTTACCAGCTCCCAGCATTCCGCTCCAAGAACACCCTGGGCAACTTCATCTTGTTCCTCACCAATAGCACCAGCGACGAACAGAGCAGGAATATAGTGCTCGTCGGTGCCGTGCGCATCTCGGAAGTAAGGATGCTTCATCAGCCTGGCCAATCCTCTTTTCAGCTTTGGCCCGCCCCCATTCTTGACGATTACGTCCTCGAGCGCGGTTCTGAACTCGATATTCTCGGGGTCTGGCGGCTTCTCCATAGCAAAATTGTCCTTGTACTTGTTCATGTATTTCCACTCCGTGCGATATAGGTTGTGGACGCCGCCGCCTGATCCGATGAAGAGATAGCCCTCCTCCCGTAGTGGTCGAAGGACGGTTCCGATTCGGGCATGGTAAAATGGGTCGAAGTGGGAGTTCAGAGATACCACAGTGACTGGAGGGCATTCGTTTGGAAACATAGCGACAAGGAGAGGGAAGACATCGATCATCCAGATCCTCTCGGTGTCGCCCTCTACCTCGAAGCCAGCGTCACTGAGCATGTCAATGCACCTCTGGCCCGTCGCCAAGTCAGGATTTGGTTTATAGTCCTGCCACTTCTTTGGGTGCACGTTGGCCACGGGCATGACGCTCGGGGATGGATTCATGCCGACCTTGATCTTATTATCATCTACCCACCAGTGGGCGCCCTTTGCATGTGTCAGCGTCATTTGATAGAGCATCGACTGTCAACTTACCATGAGAACTACGCCTTTGATACCATGATCTATCGCCTCTTGGCCGATCTTCTTCCAGTAATCCAGTACACGCGAATCTTCCCCGAGTAGCATTGTAGTGCCGTGAGATAGAAAGTGAACAGGTGGCAGGTCTACAGGTATTAGGGTAAGCTAACAGCAAGGCGGTGAGACCGTGTGAGTGTTGATGGCTTACCTGCCATATTGGTATTAGATCCTGATAGTGTTGCTAATTGTGACTGAGTACAACACAGACTTGCTTGCTAAGAACTAATTTATTTATCGTAGAGAGGTCTTGAAGACAGTACCAGTAATTACATAAGTCTAGCATTCGTCCACCTCAGCAAGATGCTCACATATCCACCGGTCCGGCTGACCACCTACGGGGCATGTGGAGAGCGGCATAGGACTGGCGTAGTGCTTCTGGCTGTGCGCAATTACTGTGATAGGGTTGAGGGGTCAAAAGAGGCTTCAGCCTCAAGGCCACAAAGGTAAAGAACACCAGTGCGCAATTACAAACGCATGTTGACCCTTGGCCGGAACTCTCAGTCAACTTGATAAATCATGACACTATTATGTTACATAAGTTTAGTTGTCACATATCCTTGAATGTTTGTGAAATCGCCGATTTATTGAAAAAGAAATTGAAAAGAAAAGAAAAGAAATAGTAGTATATTTAATAATTTACTAAAGACTCCCATACAGCGATAATCGCATCTCTCTGGGCCCTTGAGCTCCTGCCTAGATAATACTCTACTGCTCACCACTCTCCAGCCACCTGGTATTGGAAATATTCACGCTCATGTAAGCCGAGCTGTGTTGGGAAAGTGTAAAACCACTGCATGAGCATGGTTAGTCGACGTTCACAACAACCAGTGCAGAGCCGCTGAAGATCCAGTGCTCATTGACCTACCCGAAGAAGCTCACAGCCATGAAACATGGTCCATAGAAAGGCCCTCATAGGCAGTGGCCCCCCTATCAGCTCCCAGTCGTCATGGACAGCTGGTGGTCGATGTGCGGGAACTCGCCGCTGGTTCGAAGGCCAGTCTGGCGGGTTTGTGTTGGGTTCGAGGCCGGTGACACCGTTGTTGGCGGGGAGGAACTCGTTGATGTGCTCGTGAGGAATGTCGGGCGAATTACTGCCAAGAGTTCTTCCAGTGCCTTGGAAAACCAGAGCTGGGGTGTCTTGGGTCGTCGCTACGGTTGTTACGTGACTCATGATTATGGCTGGAAACAGTTTTTATGGTTGTATGTCGGTGGACAGGAAATGAACCAGCATATCAAAACGGGCTCGTTCTTGAATAAAGAACCGGAGCCAACTCTGACATGCTTAGCGTAATGAACCCCATAAAGATGCTCCGTTAGCCCTGTTCTCTCCACACGGGGAAGCCCGTCACAGTGCGGGGTATTCATGGAGGAGGACGGGATGGGTGATGGAGTCCGGCAAGTGGAGAGCCATTGCCCGGATGGCAAAGCAGCCTAGTTAGAAACTGTACTATGCCATAGATGATACAACCCAACACATTGAGCAAGGGCATTGCTGCCACGCTTGAACCCCCTTTTGATACGATCGATCAAGTTAAAAGCGGCTACTCACGGAACATCAAAGACAACTTGATGGTCTCGTCATCTTCCCCCCTTCCATCAATGAGCATACAAAATGACGTCTCGTATCAATACCACCATCGCTCAAGTCCGCTCAACGGCCATCGAAGGCCGCATGAGAGATTTGAGGCACCGTCAGGAACAGCTATTGTCTCTGCATAGGCATCTCAGAGACAACGAGTCTGAGGTCACAGAGGCTACCCGAGCCGACGATGGACTGACTGCAGATGAAGCCCTATTTGTATTTGGCTCAATACTGTCTGAGGTCCGAACTCACTATGATGCTCTAGATCTGGGTAAAGAGCTCAAGGTAGAATACGGTATAAAATGGGGCAGAAGCAACGAAAACAAACGTACAGCGCATTCCTTGGCGTATATCATACTCGATAAGCAATCGCTCTTATTTAGCGCCTTGTCAGTATTTGCTGCTGCTACCGAAGCGGGAGCCTGCTGCATCTTCAAGGTGAGAGCCGGCCAAGAAGAAATACTTAGGTATCATGATGCACTGACTTGGTAAAGATCGAAAACGGCCCGCCCTTGACACTGGCGCTGCTCAGCAAATTCTTCAGAATGCTTCATGACAAGGATGCTGTCTGCATTACCATGACTCAGCCAAGTGTTGATCTGCTACAAAATTGCTTAGTAGTCGACCAAGTCGGTGGCAACACTATTGCTGCTGGCTTGGCTCACCCGGATAGATACTTGCGCTCATCACCCGAGTCACTGAACGTCGCAGTCGTGGATAGAACAGCAAACATTCAGGAGGCTGCAACGGCGCTGGTTCGTTCGCGAATCGCATTCGGTGCGTCGAGTCGCCAGGCAGTAGACCATGTTTTTGTTAATGAATTCGTGATGGAGGATTTTCTGAATGCAGTCGCGAAGACCATTGAGACATGGCCCAACCGAAACGTGGATAATATGAAGAGCAGTAAGGACAAGACTGTTCCTGGTTACGCAAACGTCTTAACCGAGCCATTGTTTTGCTCCGTACTGCGGCCGGAGCCTGCGAGGTAAGAAAAGAAAGAGTGAAGTGGTAGCGTCGAGTGAAGAATACTGATCGGCGCCTAAGAAACAATAAACACAGCAGGTTTCTGGCCAAGAAAGTTGAAGATCGTGTACTAGTCATTGGTGTTATGACGAGTCTCGACGACGCAATCGATACAGTCTTGGCAGGAAGTGCAGATCTCGGAGCACTTTACATCTTCGCTGGACTAAAAGAGGCCAAGTATATCAGCCAGCACATCCCAACAAGGGTAACATTTGTCAACCATATACCAAGAAGATTCCAGGGTAAGCCATCCCAATCCAACACCGAGGAGCGTATATCCAAGGCTAATAAAGCGAATGATCAAGTTGGGCCATCACCCCCAGTGGGCTACGCAGTCACAAACACGGTCAGATACACGCGACAGATGTTTGAGATGAGCAGCTCGCAATTTGTCAAGGACAAGAGCAAGGGACGGGCTGTCGAAGAGACGGTGGCTTTTCTGGAGCAGGAGAGACGTCCCCTGAAACCTACTGGCCAGGCGAAAGCTGGGGCGGTAGGATTCTTTGATGTTGGCGTTATGCTAGGTGCAGCGGTTTATCTCATGCCCCCATTTGTAGCCTGTGTTTTTGGTGTGGGGTACGGGCTATACAAGGCTTGGAGGGCTGTTTCTAATTAGTTAGGTCCTCTAAAACAGTTTCTTTAGTATATAAGTAATTTAGTCTGAAATTTATTACAGTATAGATTTTTCTATCTAAATACTAAGCAATATATATTTATAGTTATCGCTTTAATTTCAGTTCCAATTTAATTATATAACGTACCCCATAGTTAAAGTGACTAAAAGGCGGGGTCATCTTTAGCCTCCTCCTCTCAATCCGATCTAGTTATCCTTTACATCCCTCTTCTCTACAGAGTATATTCCAGCAATGCCTGACGACTTCACCGTGCAATCAGCTCCTCTTCGGCAGCCGCGTCAGCCTCTGAGCCCAGATACAGATCTTAGCCAGGGTCGCAACCAAGCGCCACGTCAAGGTCTCTACCAATGCTCACAATGCGATCGGCGTTACAACCGCGCCGAGCATCTCGCGCGCCATGTCCGTTCTCACACCCAGACTCGCCCTTATATGTGCCAAATATGCCTCAAGCCTTTTGCTCGTCGTGACGTTTTGAAGAGGCACCAAGCGACACATGAGCGCTACCAAAATGGACACCCTCAGACCATCTCGCAACCGTTCATCCAAAGCTTTAGAGCAGGCCGCGCTTGCAAACCATGCGCCGCTGCCAAAGCTAAATGCTCTGACCAGAAGCCTTGCCAAAGATGTCTTACCAAAGGCCTGGAGTGTTCATACCCAGATGATCCCGAGCCGGAACCGGAACCGAGCCTGGACCTGGATACCACGGAGATGGAGAACCCTTCATTGCACGAGAGGCAGGTTCCAAATACCCTTCCAAATAGCCAAAGGTTGGATGGAGACATGGAAGACACCATCGTTGTATCTCATATCGAATGTATAGAGCAGACAGAAGGATCCTATCGGCAACCCCAAGATGACGCAAACACCATACTTAACCCAGGCTTCGATGACCAAGTAGCGTCATTGAATGGTTTCCTTGGTCCTATGGAGTTTCCCGACTTATTCGACTTCTCAGTGCAGCACCCTCAGACAGCAGATAACTTTTCCCTCCAAGATTGGGATATGGGAAATGTTGGCCTCTCGCCCTCCGAGGTGTACCACGATCCGTCAAGTAGCAATTTGATGCATCCTACACTACAAGATGGCCAGGAAACCGTCAATGACACATTTGAAACCACCAGCCCCTACACGGATCTATCCGTGACTGGGAAATGGGAGCCGCAGCCCAAGGAGAGCGGCGAGACGGAACATGCTCACTTGGCCGCTGGCGATGAAGGTCTTGTATCGAGCCATACCCTCGACACGTCGCCATTGGAGGCTGGACTCTCGACAGCTGGACGCGACATTGTCCTCAACATGGTCCTTAGCACCACGTCGCGAGCCACTTCTGTCCTGATAGTCGCCGCCTTTCCCTCGGTCGAGACTCTCAACAAGCTCATTCGTATATACACCCGAGGCGAGAGCTCCTCTTATATTGACGGAATTCTTCATTACCCGACCCTAGTTTTCAATCGTCAGCGACCGGAGCTATTGGGCGCCATAATTGCCATGGGAGCCACTAACGCTGGGAGGCTCACGGCACGCAAGTTCGGTTATGCCATGCAGGAGGTCGTGAGGGCATCCTCGTTCCGCTCGGTAAGTATCCTTGTCCTTCCTCCATGCTTAGACTAACGAATTTGTCTGTCTGACTAGTGGGAAGAAGACAACGGAAATTGCAGTGAACTAGGCCTTGCCCAGGGCTTCGTCATCCAGCAGTACATCGCCTTCTTTAGCGGCGTGAGACGAAAGATCGCCCTGGCAGTGTCATGCGCAAACTGTATTCAGACCATGACCAAGTGCGGCCTTGATCCCCAGGCCGCTCTTCGCAGTCCCTACGGTCCTCTTAATCTTGCCGAGCTTGATGGACATCTTCTTGAAAATGCATGGCGTGAATGGGCGGTTGGTGAGTCCCATCGCAGGCTCTGCTACGCCTCCTATATATTGGCTGCTCATGTGTCATTGTCACACGGAATCCAATCCATCGTACCATGTGTAGACATGAACCTGCCACTACCAGCACCTGACGAGCTGTGGACTACAAAGACGTCGAACGAGTGGAAGCAGGCCATGTTGGGTCTGATTAAGTCACACAGACCCCCAAGGCCAGTTTGCCTCGGAGATGTACTGGCTGACCCGGTAGTACTGACCACGCACGGCGGATTTACCAATACTGACTTCGCAGCGTCAAGCTTCCTCGCCGGAATGTGGACTCTGATTAGAGAGCTACAGCAATTTGACCGCATCACTCATAAGACTTCTACATGGAGTTCACTCCTCGTATCTTCGCGAAGAGCCGAGCTGTTGTCGGTGCTTAACCTCTTTGAATCGCAATACATCGCATCACAAGGAGCAGTCTCTTCCAAGATGCGTCTTTTATGCGAAGCCATATCGATGCATGCCATGGTAACCCCAGATGACTTGGTGCTGCCAAAGCTTACAACACTTCCGCTACTAAACAAGGTGTCTGTCCCTTCAACAACAATCAATGGTCTTAAGCTATCTACCAACTTTGAGTATCGCGCTGCGTTGTGGCGCACAGGCCGTATATTGCACGCAGCGGCCCGATGCGTCCCTGGAGAGCTGAGCGGTGTGCACATCGTTGCGCTCTTCCACGCTGCTATCCTGCTCTGGTGGTATGGCGTCAAGTTGCTATGTCACAATGGGCATGTCAGCGGCACAAGTGTATCTCGTGTTTTCGTATGCATCCTTAATGGGGACAGCTCACTGGAGCATCAAGTGCTGGGTGGACAATTCGAGCTAGCGCTGTCGGGTCAAGGCCCTGATTCGCCGCCTGTTCCATTGATAGATGTCCCGGGTACTATGGAATGTATTAGGGGGATCGTAGTGCAGAACTGGAGAGACAGGCAAATGCCCATTCTTGTGCACGAGATCTGCTGCGTATTAACAAACCTCGGCACAGCAGCCCACGGCTTGGAGTTTGAGTTGTAGTTCTTGCCAGGGTTAGATTGGTATGGCGTATGGAGTATTCCGGGGTATGCTATCTAGGCTATCCTCTGCCGGGCCGCTGACGCCACATCCCGATCCCCGTCCCGGTGGGAGAGATACGCATGGGAGTTGATGCTTCCGGCTTTCAATTGTCGGGGAACGACGCAATATGAGTTCAGATTCTGCCATTACCAGATTGATTGCTGCCTTCTCATTACTATTGCTTTGTGTCAAGTCTTGAAACAATATCAATCTCGCTATTTGCAGTATTACAAAGCCCAGCCAACCCTGACGGAGTTGCAAATATGCCTAATGTTATTCGAGACATTCGTACCGTGGATACGGAGTCTTTCCCCTACATTTTTGAACGGGACGTCTCAATTCAGCTCAAAAGCAACGACCAGACTGTCGCGAGAGCCAATGTGTACCGCCCCCGGAATATCGAACGCGCTCCTGTCTTGGTCACCTACGGTCCGTATGGCAAGGATATTCCCTATGAAGAGTAAGTTTGATATCGGTTGTTTAGGAGTGTATCTAATTCCCAGTCCTCAAGCTTCTTGAAGCATTCATTCGACGAGATTAACCCGAAACACAAATCTGCTCACTCTTCATTTGAGACTCCCGATCCTGGCTTCTGGACCAACGAAGGATATGCTGTCCTTCGGGTCGACGAGGTAGGCTTGGGCCAGTCGCCAGGCCTCTTAGACACTATGTCGCAAAACACCACGGATGCCTTTTATGAAGTTATTGAGTGGGCAGCGGAACAACCCTGGTCTAATGGCAAGGTTGGCCTGATAGGTATCAGCTATTTTGCCGGAACCCAATGGCGCGTTGCTTCTCGCCGACCCAGAGGCCTAGCTTGTATTGTCCCATATGAGGGCATGGCTGATTACTACCGCGACCGTAGTCGTCAGGGTGGAATCGCGGCCATGCGGTTCCTCGAATTCTGGTTCAACAGACAGTGTAAGAGTAACCAATATGGCTTGCCCGGAAAGGCCAGTAGGAAATGGGGCCCTGATACTATTGAGGGCGACCTGAGCGAGGAGGAGCTGCTTGCTAATCGACGGGACCAAGCTGAGGATAATGCCGCTCATCTCTTCCGCGATGATCCGTATTACGCTTCCAGGGAGTACAATCTCGAGGATATCGAGGTACCTATCCTATCCGTCGGTAACTGGGGCAATACCGCTGTCCATCTGCGTGGCAACATTCTTGGTTACCTATTCGCCGGGTCGCGGTACAAGTTCCTCAGATTAGGCGTAGGCCGTCACGATTTGCCGTTTTATGAAGACGAAGAGGTAAACAAGCAAAAGAGTTTCCTCAGTGCTTTCCTCAAAGGCGATGATTACGCAGGCTGGACAACGGGCCAACAACCACCAATCGACTTGGTAGTTCGCAAGGGCAACGTTGGTTATAACGACCCCGAGGCTGAGAAGGCTGGATACACACGACGCACCGAGAACGAGTGGCCATTAGCTCGGACCAGGTACACAAATTACTACCTCCACAGAGACGGGACCATGTCAACTGAGTCTGAAGCTACCCAAGTCGAACAGCCTGTTGGTCGCCTGTCGTATGAGGCCCTCGGTACCCCTGAAGATCCGCGGTTCGTCGAATTCAGCACGTCCCCCTTCGCGAAGGAGACCGAGATCACCGGACATATTGTTGCTCACCTCAACGTCTCGGCCACACCTCATCTGGGCAAGTCGGCTCCACGAGATATTGACCTGTTCCTGACCCTGCGTCACTTGGATGCTGATAACAAGGAGATCTTTTACACGGGTACCATTGGAAACCCTGTTCCTCTCGTGAAAGGTTGGCAGCGTGTTAGTCTCCGCAAGATCAACACGGCGCACCGTCGTCATCGCGAATGGCTCCCCCATCGGGACTATTTCTCGACCGACGTCCAGCCTGTCATTCCTGGCGAGGTATATGGTGTCGACGTCGAGGTATGGCCCACAAACGTGGTTGTTGAACCTGGTTCGCGCCTCGTCCTCGAGGTTGCCAGTGGTGATACACCTGGTGTTGGCATATTTGTTCACGATGGAGCCGAAAGGTAAGTCTTTGTTTCTTCTTTATATCTAAGTTTGCTGACCATGGTTCTCATAGGACTGAGGAGCGGTTTGGAGGAATGAATCACATTCATTTTGCACCACATTACCAGAACTATGTTACTTTACCTATTGTTTAAACTTGGTTTGAAGTTTTCTTAAATTTAGATTCGTCCTTTAGTTTAGATACTCTCTAGTACAAATCCGTATGACTCAGGCTTAACCTTGACCAGCAAATCGTCCCTCACACCAGGTCCACATGTCGCGCTACCGACACCAGCGACCCTTGGACTTAGGTTAAGAAGCGTAGCGTCTTCGCGGACTAGGTCACAAGGATGCTTTGCATTCTCGATAGTCTGATCTGACAGACGGCCACCAGTCCAGTTGAAGGTCGTAGCATCAAGCCTGGAAGCTCTTATTCCGCGACCTTCTGCATCCACAAGCCGCACCCAACGCGTATCCATTCTGTTTCCATTCCCTTGGGGCACATCATACGGAACTTCGAGGTCATCAACAGCCGAAGACCAGATTCCAATAGCTTGTGAATGTTTCTTATCGGGATAAGATTCGCCTGGACCTCTACCGAACCACGAAGCTTGACCGAGGCTCTTGGGCAGTCTGATGTTCAGACCAACTCGAGGGACGTCGACTGGGAAGACTCCCTTGGGTTTGAGATCCAGATTCATCGAAAAGACGCCCTGTGAGGATATGTGGTAGACAGTGTAAATGTCGTATCCCCATCCCAAAACCGGAGGCGCAAAGTATGTCCTGGTCTCGATACTGACACCAGAGCCGTCTGCCCCGTTCTCAACCTTGAACGATCTCAGCTGAGAAGTCATTCGATGAACACCATAGTCCTTCCATACTCTGACTGCACTATCCTTATCGTTGTCTGTTGGCGCGCGCCAGAAGCATGGATAAATTGCCGCGCGAGTGTCTGGATCAACTTCCAGAAGATCTGATCCGCGAGACCATTTAGTGACGTATCCTCGTACACGATCGAAGTGAACTTCCCAATCTGAGCCAGATACTTCGACCTTGGTTCGAGTTTCGACAACCTTGACACTTCCGGAAGCTGATAGACTGGCAGGAATACTGGGTTGTCTCTCGGTGGAGATCTTTTGCTGGAACCATGCGATTTCATGTGAAGCTGGTGCCCACGCGGTAGACTCCTTGAGAGTAAAAGAGAGACTCAGGAACACTTCTTCTTCATGATCCGAGTACTTAGTCAGGTCGGCGGGGAGAGAAAGCTCTACTGTTTCCCACGGTCGGACGCTTGGCACTTCGAGGGTGCCCGACTCGAGCAAGGACGGCCTAGTCATCATCGATTAGCTTGTTCTCATCATAGTTTTGGTTTTACTTACTTATCACCATACGCCTTAATGGCATACTTAGCCTCTAAATGGTCAAGGCTGATAAAGTCATACTCATTTGTGATAAACACCTTGCCATCCTCGTACTTGAAGTTGATAGGCTGGAATACTCTCTTCAGCTCAATCAGACCTGGGGTTGGTTTATGCTCGCTGTTGCAGAGGCCATCCATGACAAACGTAGAATCGTTTGGCTGGTCACCAAAGTCGCCTCCATATGCATAGTAGCCGTCTTTGTGCAAGAGGCCGTGGTTGGCCCATTCCCAGATGAAACCACCCTGAAGGCGTTTATACTTACGGAATGCGTCCTGATAGTCATCTAAACCTCCAGGGCCATTACCCATAGCATGAGCGTATTCGCAAAGAATCACAGGCTTCTCCCACTGCCCATCCTTGATGCCATCGATCTCGACATGTCTCTTGAGCCGGTCTTGATCAGGATACATGTAGGAGTACATGTCAGTCTCTTGTGCTTTGATGTCGCCTTCGTAGTGGATAAGTCGGTCGTCGATACTTCGTGCATACTCGATCATCGCGACGTGGTTGACACCGTAGAAGGACTCGTTACCAAGGGACCATGAGAAGATGCAAGGATGGTTCTTGTCCCTCTGCACCATCTGCACCATCCTGTCGAGGTAAGATTCGCGCCATTCGGGGTTATCAGAGGTGAACTGGGCTGCTTTGGGGAAGAACTCTTCCTTGCTTCCCTCATAATCCAGATACGGAGCAGGCGTGACGTGCTGGGTGACAACGTCATAGAAACCATGGCACTCTAGGTCAGCTTCATCCATGACCCAGAATCCCAGCTCATCAGCCAAGTCATACAGCCAGGGCTGGCCAGGATAATGACTTGTTCGGAGGGCATTGATGTTGTGCTGTTTCATGAGCAACAGATCTTGTTTGAGAAACTCATATGGGACAGCCCTTCCATGGATCGGATGGTGATCATGTCTGTTCGTGCCCCGAAGAAGGATTGGAGAGCCGTTGACTGTGATGAGGCCATCTTTCAGTTCGACCTTGCGGAAGCCAACATTCTGTGAAATTGACTGGACCGTGTCTCCTCCTTGTGCTTGGAGTGAGATCTCGAGCTGGTAGAGGTAAGGGCTTTCGGCAGTCCATTTCTTGGGCTTTGAAACGGGGATTTCAAACTTGACTGTGTTGTCAACAACCGTCTTGCGTGTTGAGCTTACTTCGACCCCGGAATCTCGAAGAATTAGCAGGAGATCGAGAGTGGAAGGTTCAGGTTTGTCCAAGGTGACATCGACCTGGAGAACAGCATTCTCATAGTTCTCATCAAGGTTTGTCTTGACAAAGAAGTCTTCAATCCTTGACTGTCCAGGAAGTGCCAGTAAAGTCACATCGCGGAAGATACCCGACAGCCACCACTGGTCTTGGTCCTCGATGTATGACGCCTCACACCATTGATAGACTCTCACTACCAATTCGTTGTCATTTTCTTTCTTGGCGATGCCTGTGATGTCGAATTCGGCAGCATTGCGACTACCTTGTGAATATCCGACAAAGGTGCCATTCAGCCAGACGTGATACGCGCTGTCAACGCCATCAAAACGCAGTCTGAGTTGGGATGTGCTGTCCCATTCAGCGGGAACCTTGAAGTGCCGCCGATAGGTCCCCGTGGGGTTCTCAGTTGGTATGTAAGGAGGGTTTGACGGAAACGGGAATTGGACATTGGTGTAGTGCGGATGGCCATGTCCTTGCAGTTGCCAATGGCCTGGGACATTGATCGCTGACCAAGTCCCTTCAGAGCTTCCGTTCTTTGGGGGATATTCTGAAGCTTCCAAGGGCGTTGGGGCATATTGGAAGTCCCATGTTCCATTGAGGAGGAGATGTGTAGGAGGCAACCAGTAGGCTCTGGGAGTAAGCCTGTTCCTCTGTATCACCTCGAGATTTTCGTAATCTGGCTTGTCCATGATTGGAATGATAACAGATCAATTGAACGCTGATGAAATGGAAACCGAGGCTCGGTTGTATGCGCATTGAGAAGCTATGGGGTCCTAGACACACTAATAAAACCAGAAGCCTGCTATGAACTTCAGTGATGACACTCGGTGGACTGATTGAGGGGTCGATAAGATGAAAGTCTCCACTTTCGCCGAAAAAAGCCGGCGAACCGAACAATGACTCGGGCGAGGTGCGAGAAACCCCTCATCTGTGAAGCTAGCATCAACACTGTAGGTTAGGCGACCCGGTGTTGAGAAAGTCAACATGATGAATTCAGCATGGGTTTGCTTTGTGACCAATTCCTACTCTCTTGGAATTTGCTTCTGGTATTGGATATCTAACTTCAAATCAGCCACGATTTAGATATAATTGTCCATATCGGTTTCTAAGAGCTCGAGTGGCTTGGAACATCATGTAGATACTGACCGAGCACGATTTCATAAATTGACACGACTGACCTATTACTATGTAAAGAGTATTCTTTTGACTAAAGACTCATTTGAATCTACTGTGCCTTGTATTATTACATAATCAGATCGCCCTACTCTTCCTATATGGATCCTCGCTTCTCAGTCTCAATAACTTGAACGGTTTTCTCCGTGTTCTTAAGAACCTCTCCGACAAGTTTGTCTCCCATCTCAGGACCATCAAGCACCAATGCTGTCTCCTCCAGGCTCAGACCACGTGTCTCAACAAACAGAAAGTAGACGACAAGAGCCTCTACAGCCAGCCAGACGTCGTAAGTAATATAGTACTTCCAGCCCGAGTTCGTGACACCAATTGGGTTGGCGTATTGGTTGAAGATCAGAGCGCAGGCCACAAACAGGTTGTACAAGACAAGACCTCTTGCACGAAGGTTGAAAGGAAGGATTTCAACAACATAAGTGACTTGCAGAACACCCCAACCGGCCGTGAAGAAGACATTAAAGAGGAAGATCATGGCAAGAACACCCTTGGCTATGCCGCTTGGGCCTCCAGTTCCATCTTCATTGAGGTCTGTTGACATCTCGTAGGTCGCTTCGAGAGCTGTCCAGACAACATAGGTTGCCAAGGAACCAAGAGTCGAGAAAAGGAATAAGGCGCGGCGAGGAATGCGGTTGACAAGCAGGGAGAACACAACACCCCAGAACAATCCCCAGACGGTAAGCAACGCGTTGATGAGTGTTTGTGTCTCCTGGGATCGGTAACCAATTGAGTTAAGGATCAGGGTCAAGTAGTAGCTGATGAGGCCGTTACCACTCCACTGACTGAAAAAGCCGACAGCGAGAATGATGAAGAAACGATGGCGATTACCCTTGGTCTTGAAGAAAGAAAGGTAGCTGGTAGAGTTCATAGCGTCATTCTCCAAGCGGATGGCAGTTCGGATCTCCTCCATCTCGACAGCCACTGCTGGATTGCTGCTGTCTCCGTTGGCGTGATACTTGATAAGAAGCTTCTCGGCCTCAGGTTCACGCTCTTGAGCAACCAGCCATCGAGGAGACTCGTCGATGAGGAAGCATAGACCAAGCTGCAGAAAGCTGGACAGTGCCTGGAGGATGGAAGGAATGCGCCAAGCCCAGTCGCTGTTGATTCTGAAGGTGCCGTAGGTAATCCAAGCTGCAGAGAGAGCACCAAGACCCCAAAGAGTGTTGTAGATAGAAACCATGGGCGCTCTCTGAGTGGGATACGCCAATTCCATAATCAGAACAGGGGCAGCTGTGATGTTCAAGGCCAGGCCGAAACCGAGAATACCTCGAGCAGCGATGAACATGCCCGTGTTCTGGGCTCCACCTTGGAGACCAACTCCGAGAAGCATGATAGTCGCTCCAACAACAAGGCCAGGGCGACGACCGTATTTATCGCAGAACCAGGCACAAAATGGCAAGGCTGCGAGTTGACCAATGTTCTGAATTGCGTTCAAACTGGAGTGGGTCATGTCAGTTATGGAGCCAAGAGACTTGACAAGGCGCCAAGTTTTAAGCCTCAACGGTCAACACTTACATGGCGAGTTTGTTGGCATCGGGATTGTTGAAGGATGCTTTCCACGTATCCAAGCTCTGCAATCCATTCATCATACCTGACAAAGTGGTGAGTAAATATGAGCTGACACAAATTAATCAGGCTGAGCACTTACTTCCATCATAACCAGTGGCATAGCTGGAGATGAGCGAAAGACAGAGAATCGCATTGAGTTTGAGGATGCCCTTGTTGGTCAGCCAGCCAAACCAGCCAGCGGCCAACTGGTCGTCGAGGGCAAGAGAAGCCTGTGCTTGAACCATTGTGATGCTTTTGATGAGACGAGGGTTTAGCTGGAGACATGCAGAGTGAGAGAGGGGAGAGGCAAGGTAGCATTATCTACCATCTGAGCCCGATGCCGTATCTCTTGTGGGCCGGTGTTCCCCGCGACGTTGCTATTATCAGACCCCCATGGGGGCAAGCTAGCTTAGTCTCCATAGTGCACGCGACCATGATAGACAAGGATGGAAGTGATTAGCATCGGAGAGTCCACCGGACTTTGCCGGAGCCAATCTCGAGCTCGTTTTCTAGCCTGCGAGGTTAGTCTTATCATCTGATCAGGGTCCAACCAAGCACTCGGGGCCGAAATTCCACGCGAAAATAAGTCCCTCGTTTAGGGGAACGAGGTTAGAGTTTGGACTTTGCATGTTCTGGCCGTGTCATTGAAACAGCCAGACCTCATTCATTGACAAGCTAGCATACCTAGATGCATCCTCTTAACTACAGCATAACTACAGCAGTACAAAAGAAACATCTCTGCAAGAAATGAGTACATTCTAAAAAAGATAAAAAAGAAGAAGAAAAATAAACGGAACAATTGCGCATCAATTCCGTATTTATCCACTCAAATCCAAAGATTATTGAACCTGCATGAACTTTTGCAGCCCCAGCTTTCGATGGGGCCGCTATCTAGTGTGGAGTGACCGGTTCATCAGCTGTTCTCTAGCCTGATTGATCCAGTCTAGACAACGAAAGGGCAGGGCCAGAATGCGGAGAAGTTCCCAAGAGGGCCAAAACCGCCGGTGCCATTCGCCGGTTTTGCCCATCCCATTCCCAAGGGTCTGGGAAACGATCTGGGGAAAGGCGCTGTTGATCCGGAGTCATGTTAAGAGGGGCTGATTGTCCACTCATTTCTCTCTGTCTTTCAGGTCACAGGCCCGTCATTTGTTTCTGTCGTATCGCTTCACTTTGAGATATTCAACATGGGTCTTCTTTCACTCGCTACCACTTTCTTGGCCTTTGGCTCTGCGGCTTCTGCAGCGAGCCTGGCTAAGCGTAACAGCAATAGCCAGAAGCTCACACCAGGTTTGTTTCAAGTTTCTTCTTGTGAAACTTGTGTTGACAAAGTCTACAGCTGCGCAGAGCCTGTTCGATTACTCTATGCAGGTATCGGATTCCCGATATGACTCGAGCTACGGTTATGTCTGGTACCAGGACAATGGCCAATGGTCTGTCCGCTTTACGGCCTGGCACATTCCAGGACTTCTGCATCGCGCCAAGGGCGATGATGTAAAGACTGCTGTCAAGGCTATTGAAAATGTGTAAGTCAGACTCTCACCAGACTCATCAGAATCACTTGACTGACTTGGCTACCAGCTTGGCAAACCAGCTGAATAGTGACTTCGACTCAGCTTGGTACGGCACTTTCAAGCTCTCGCCAGATGAGCCTGACCCTACCCCTAACGGACCTCTGTACCCTCCTAGTATCTATGGTACTTATGATCCCAACTGGAGAGAATTTGTCGGGTAAGTAACAGCAATTCCTTGCTGGTGATGGACTTTCGGATGCTAACCTTTTGCCAGTACCCAGCTTATCCAAGTTGTCGAGGAATTCGGCCACCTTCTGCCAGCTGGCCTTGAATCTCGCATCGAAGATGCTCTTGAGGCAGCTGCGATTGGAGGAATGCGTCGCAACGGATCTTTCCCGTTGGATGACAACCTGATTCTTGGGTACTCCAACCCAGGCATCATGCGAGCTCTCACCACTGGCTGGGTCGGAAAACGCAAGAACAACAAAGTCCTCATCAACTTTGCCAAGGAGCAGGGCAACGACCTCCTCAAGCTTTTCAAGCGTTGCGGGAATGCACTGTCCGAGTACAATGCACCCAACTACTACGGCATTGACATCTGGGCTCTTGCGGCCAACATTGCTTACGGTCCCAAGGATGCTCCCATGACCAAGAACTCAGTCTTCATCCTGCAGGAGTTGTGGAAAGACGTTGCTGCTCACTACAATCCTTATCTCGGCAACATGGTTGGACCATACGATCGTGCCTACAGTCGTGATGCCACCACTCACTCCCAGATTCTTTCCATGGTTCTCTGGGGTGTTTACGGACGCGGTGTTGGCGGCCAACCTCCTCTTGGCGAAGCCGATCTCCTCTACGATATCGCCCAAGGTGCTGCCCTTGCTCTTGTCATGGATGTTATCGCGCCCACTATCTCCAAGGACGCTCAGGCCATCATCAAGTCCAAGGGCAAGTGGAAGGGTACACGGTTCATCAAGAAGACCATCTACGAGGAGCTTGACTCGAGCAACCCCCGCCACGTTACCTCTTGGCTCAGCGCTGAGCTCATGATTGGCGGCCAGACCGTCAACGAGACCGTCAACAGAGGCAACCAGTATGTCCCAGCCATCGTGCAGTGGGCTTCTGATCCTTCTCACAAGCCTTACCCCTACATGGGCTTCTTCTCGCTCTACCCCAGCGCCTCAACCTTGAACGCCAAGGCCGAAGCAAACAAGTTGACTGTGTCTTACCCCAACACTACTCAGGACGGATCCAATATCTTTACTTTTGCTTTGACTGGTATTCCTCCTTCTTGGACTCTTGGCGGCAAGAACGTTGTCAAGGGCCTTGAGAAGCTGCCATGCCTTGATGTTAATGTTACTGCACCGGGATTGGTGAAGCAGGATGTCGTTTATGGAGCTACACTGAGAGATCACTGGATTTACAACATCTCGTATGCGGTGCCTGAGGGATTCAAGGGTACTCCTAGCGTCACTTTGGACATGACTTATACATGCTAGATTGACAAGGGGCAGGGTGCAACCCTGAGTAATGGGGTTAATATGTTTCTGTCAGAGATTCTTAGTAGTGTAACATAGCTTGTGTCAATAAAGAGGAGTTCGGAAATTTAGAGTTCATCTAATTCGGTTCGCGACTCATGTTCCAAGGGGGATTAGTTTTGTGGCGTTTGGTAGTTGGCCGCATTCTTAACATTTGCCGATAAGGAGCTAACTTGAAGTTGTTAGTGTCCCAAACCCAAGGGACCGGAACCGGAGAATGGCCGTAGTATCCCGGTTCAGTAGCTGCCGCGAAACTCTGTTTGGCTCGGTCTACGCACCGGCAAAGTTCGGGCTTCTCCCTTGCTTCTATCAAGGCCGAATGACACAATAGATAGTTTGGCACGTTGATAGAGGAAGATTGTATAAGATATAGTTACCAGTTAAGGAGAGATCAAAATCTAGACTTTGTGCAAGTTGCAATTACCAAGTGATTACTATTGTTCGAATACCTATCCACATTTCCAAGATGCGTCTCGTAATCCGCGAAGGCCCCCAAGAGGCATCTCAATACATCTCTGACTACATCATCAGTAAGCCTTGCCTGATTATTTAAGTCTCCAGCCTAGATTAGACAAGATATGCTGATACTGCGATAATTCAGACCGCATTCGTGCTTTCAATCCTACATCCGAAAAGCCATTCGTCCTTGGCCTTCCCACCGGAAGCAGCCCTCTCCATATATACAATGACTTGATCAAAGCATACAAAGCTTCCAAGATATCTTTCCAACATGTCGTGACATTTAACATGGACGAATACGTCGGTTTACCCCGCGAACATCCCGAATCATACTACTCCTTCATGCACCACAATCTCTTCAAACACATCGATATCCAACCCGAGAATATTCATCTGCTCAATGGGAATGCCCCTGACCTCTTCGCCGAGTGCTCAGCCTACGAAGATAAGATCAAGTCGTTCGGTGGTATTGAGCTCTTCCTTGGAGGTATAGGAACAGACGGTCATATCGCTTTCAACGAGCCAGGTTCCAGTCTTGTCAGCCGAACTCGAATCAAGTCTCTTGCATATGAGACCCGGATTGCGAATGCGAGATTTTTTGACAATGATATCGAGGCAGTGCCTGACATGGCCTTGACTGTTGGGGTGCAGACTGTCATGGATGCACGAGAAGTCGTCATCATTGCTACTGGGGCCTCAAAAGCCATTGCCATCCAACAAGCAGTTGAGGGTGGAGTCAGCCACCTCTGCACACTCTCGTGCCTCCAATTACATCCAAAGAGCATGGTGGTGGTGGACAGAGATGCTACCCTCGAGTTGAAGGTGAAGACAGTGAACGTAAGTACACTCACTACCCATGAAGTATCCATCAACAAGACTGACGAGTATAGTATTTCTACGGAGTCGAGAAGACTATCAGACAAAGGGAGGTCTCGGGCCACCTTCCTCCATCGCCTACACTAACAGCTGATGGGGACGAAGACGGTGATCTGAAGCCTGATAACATGGCATCACGAATAGCGCCCACCATGAGGGTTCGGTCTGTGACGTTCCCTGTTGGAATGGGAGGTCAAATTTCTTAGATAGATCAGTAGTTTTATTTATCCAGGAAATTGTATCTGCTGTAAATTTACTTGATCAAATAGTTGCCATGAGTAATCAAACGTAGGGTCCATAACTGTAGGATGACCGGGCTGCACGTAGGTGAAATCGGGCGTGCTGATATCTTGGAGGCTGTCCTCTAGTCGGGCAATCAGTTTATCGCAAAGACTAGGCTTGGGTTCGTTCTTTTGTTTCAATATATCGAGGTGCAGCCTGATGTTTCTCATATCTAAAAAAGCGGTTAGTGCTTGACTCGAACATGTATGTCGATAAACCTTACCATCTATCTCCCCCACTCCTCCTTGTAACCCTTGCAGAACGATCAAAGCCGCCCAGGTTATCATGATCAAGTCCCAGTTTGCCCAAATGGAGTCATCATGCTGGTGAAGCTTTAGTGTCGCCCTCGCTGACAGGAGTAACTCTTCCTGCTCATTTGACGTTATGCTATGAGCCCAAAGATTGCCGCTTCGGGCAGGATGGTAGATTGATAGCACAAGCAATCGATGGAGGACGTACTGGCGGAGAACCAACTTGCTGCTTTGGTCATCGGGTTCTGTCATCTTGCCCTTGAACTCCTGAAGCCAGTCATCTAGTTGCTTCGCCCAATCTTTGATGAGGATCCCATCAATGGCAGTGAAACTTGTGGCTGATCCATGGTAGCTCAGACTAGATTCCTGAAAACAAGACCAGATAGTTGGTAGTCTTCGCCCAGTAAAGTGGCTCAGGCCCGTATGCATCATCCGGGAAAGCTTGTATAACTGATCTAGGGGTGACATGCGTAGGATTGGAAGTGGCGCTTCAATGGGAATCACTGGGCACGACAGATAAATCGATGAGTGCTCCAGGTCAACGATTTGAATGCCGCTGAACAGTTTGCGCCATTCTCTTGACGTGTCGTCAACATGAGCAGGGCAATAGTCCAGCATTAGTCGGTAGCCAATGGCAATCCAATTTCCAGTTTCCTTTATGTTGCCCTCTGTCAGTAACCCAGCGAGAACTATACCGAGGACAGTCTGGAAGGCCCATTCCTCTTGGGAGACAGTTGACTCTCGAGGTGTCCCAATCTCACTGCTGGGAATGCTCAGCTGAGCGATGGCGTTGCATAAAACTGTGAAGAATTGGGGAGCAATTTCTAGCACGTCTGGTGGCCCACGACTGCTTGAACAGTAGAGAATGGATGCCAGTAAGATTGGTTGAGGCGTTGAAAATGTCTGTTTATCGGGCATGAAATGCAGCCCTGGCATCCTGTCATGAAAGCTGGAATAATTACACGTTAGTAATGACTCCCTACAAGGGAAAGCAAGGAAACGTACGAGGACCAGAGCGACTCAATAATATCACGTTGCCATATCGATGGTGGCACGGCTGGGGAACACCGCTGTAAGAGTACAATTGCATTCCAGAGTGGTCCATCGGGTACTGGCTCTGGTGACTGTTCTGAAACTCCAGAGAACATTCCCACCGCACCAAAGTCCATATCACCATCTGCTACGATGGACAGTCTCTCCTCGACAACCTTTAACCGAGATAAGACGTTGTTCTTGAAATCTAGATCCAGAGTCCCCGAGAGCGAGGGCAACTGGGCTGCATTCGCTCTGGGCACAAATACACAAGGAAGTCCTGCTCGACGACATCGACGACATGCTGCTTCGTTGCTACCCTGGAGGACGCATTTCATCTTCTGCTTCCGGCAGTTGACTTGGCAGCTTAATCAGCATTCGATGTGTCTTGGGATCGTCTGGTGCCCAATAGGTAGGCCCAGAGACAAGGGGGTACCCACTGCAAGCTTTGCGGGCCTTGAGTGCTGAAGCCTCATCTGGGGCGTCGCGGTCCAGAGGACGGGAATCTTCGCCGAATGTCATGGTCGAGTGTCAGAGTGGATGTGCGTGGATGTGTGCTCTGCTGTGCTCAGTGGATGTGCATATGCAGAGTGGACGAAGCAAGAAATGTGCGGGGAGCGAGAGAACGGCGAAGTGACCGATATTTCCCTGGTGTCTTATCAAGCTAGTCATCCCTGATCTAGTACGAATGTGGCTACTCGATCCGGCGTTGGCCGCCTCCGGGCCGAACTTTGCCGTTGAGCCTGGCAATGGGATTGCACCATTCTGGTCAATGCGGATTGAGCTGACTGCGGAATTATTAACAGTTTTGGTATTAGTCTTTGGCCTTGCCTCTACAATGCGTACCGTACTCATTGTTTCCATCTTTACGTATTCTTTTGCCTGTCTTGCTTTGCCATGTTGGAGGATGGCTTAGGGGACAGCCAGCAGGCAACTGTTCAATCGGTTGCCCAAGAGTTCGAGGTTGGAAGCGTGAAAATACAGGAGATAACGAAGTACTTTGTCAAGCAGATAAGTATGGTGTTGTGTCTTGCTATCTCGAGTATATCTACTGACCCAACCTATCAGAAAATGGTTTGAAAGACAAGCATGCTTATCAGATACCATCCTTCGTCACCCATATTCCAAGCGGCCGAGAGAAGGGCCTTTTCCTTGCAGTCGACCTTGGCGGTACGAACTGTCGCGTGTGCGCTGTTACACTTCATGGCGACTCGACTTTTGATGTGTTTCAGAAGAAGCACCTCGTCCCTCATGATATCCGAGTACACTCAAGTCACAAACCTCTGTTCAATTTCATCGCCCTGAAGATCGAAGATCTCCTTCGTGAGCATAATAGTATTGTGGCTGGTGAGACTCCAGAGGCCTCCTTCAATCTTGGCTTCACGTTCAGCTTCACTTGTGAACAGACTTCCATCTCTAGCGGTACCCTCGTCCACTGGGACAAAGGGTGGGATATTCCAAGCACTCTGGGTCAAGATCCTTGCGCATTACTACAGGAGGCGATTGACGATATCTCATTACCAGTGCGAGTTCGCGTTCTGGCCAACGATGCAGTCGGAACGCTACTCACTAGAGCATATACCTCGAAAATAAAGAACTCTACCTTGGCGTCTATAATCCTCGGGACCGGCACGAATGCTGCGTATATTGAGCAGCTGCCAAACATCCAGAGACTCGAACTTGACACAGCGGCCGATTCCAATAGTCACGGGATCATGGTGATCAATACGGAATGGGGATCATGGGACGATGGGCTGAAGGTTCTTCCTCAAACACGATTCGACAAACTCGTTGACGAGTCTTCTTCAGATCCTGGATGCGGTCTTCTCGAGAAGATGGTCTCTGGCATGTATCTCGGAGAGCTACTACGCTTGTCGCTCTTGGATCTGATGCGCAGCAATGCATTAGACATGTCATTCCCGGACGGAAGCCCTGTTTACATACAGATGGGGGTCGACAGTGCATTTTTGTCCAAGATTGCAGAGTCGACACCAGAGAATTCGCTGTCCGCTTTGTCCTATATCACCGACACTCTAGCAGCAACAGGTGTGACATCGAGGGACTTGCAGACTATCCAGATGTTGGCTACTGTAATCGTGAAGCGATCTGCTCGATTAGTAGGCGCCGGTCTTGCAGCAATCCTCATTCAGTCTGGCAGGCTTGATACTTCAGGCATGTCTCAGAAGACAGGCCTGGGAGCTCATACCCATCAAATACACGAGAAGTCGACATCAGCGAAGACTGGCAGCCGGTGGAACGCCTTTACACAATTTATGCGACGCATGTTTGGCTGTATACGCCCGGAGGAGCCTTTGGCGACATCGACAAGCGGATCGTCATATGGCTCGAAAGACACACTCGAGACTTCGGAACTGACAGATGGGGTGATGGATATTGCGGTCGATGGCTCACTTTTCGAATTCCATACTGCTTTCGAGAGCTTCATGCGTACTGCTCTGCGTGACGTTGAAGCAATTGGGAAGGCTAATGAAGCAAGGATAAAAATAGAGCTTACAAGAGATGGTTCTGGGACTGGTGCAGCACTCATAGCTGCTGCAGCAGCGTAGCATATGCATATTGATATAGAAAGTTAATTAGATCTTGATGACAGAAATTCATAACGTTGGTACTTTTAATAACTAAGATCCTGGGGAAGCCTACACCCTCTCTTTAAGAGCTGTATCTGCACAGAGTTTTTTGTTGTTGCGCAACCCAGAGAGAACGCCCATATACATACTTACATGGATGAACTCAACTGACACCATAACCACAGTGTGCCTCTATTTTGCAGGCTTCAGAACAAAGTTATCGAGCTTGAGTGTCAACTTCCCGTTGCCTTTACCCGTCTCCTGACCTGGCACAAACCAATTGATGGCCAATGTACATTTGCCAACATTGATGTTATAGGGCAGTTTCATCGAGAGGTCCACCCACTGATTCGCCTTGTGTGTTCCTTGCTTCACAGGATAGCCAAGTGAACTGTTGAACGAATTGGGTCCAAAGGCCAGTGTTCCTACTTGTCCTTGGCCAGCGGGATCGTAGACCCAGATGTTCATACCAGGTATACGTGGATCCAGACCTTGAGCTGCACCCTTGGGGAGGTACATGGACCATGACAGCTGGTACTTTCCAAACTTGCAGTTGGTGAAGTTCTGCTTAAGTGTGCTGTAGCCATATTCATTCTGTGTCGTGGCAATGCCAGCGATCTGGAGAGCCTTGTCGCTCTTGTAGCCAGGAGTCACAAGCTTCTGGCTGGTGAGCTTCGGATAGTACGGAGCATAGACCCATGGTTCTGGCTCATGTTAGTGGGTTATCCATTGGCAAGTGAATTTGGTGGTGGTAGAGGAGAGTCTGAGAATTATATCGCTGGTGGCTGAATGGACTTACTGATAGATTTTGACTCGAAGCCGGGGTTCTGGAGCATGTTTGAAGGATTGGTGCAAGCTCGCTTATCGAGAGACGAAAAGAGGGAGCTTAAAACACCCGAGGGTGCAGCAAGAGTTGAGGCAACAAAGGCCAGCGAGTAGAGAAGCTGTATCTTGACCATTGTGACGAATCGAGGATTCAGATTTCGGGTTCTGTCTAATCAGAATCTCTCAATGGGAAAAACAATCTTGCAGACAACACCGTCTTTATAACAATTACCGTTGGGCATTGTTATTAATTTAGTCAGGCATGTGAGCTCATGTTTTTCTCGTGGCTTTGGTCTCGGTCTGTTTGGGCGTTGATCGAGACCTTCAGGGCGTTCAGCTAATTCAGATAGTGACATGTAGTTACACAAGCTATTGACTGCTAGCTCATCTTGCATGCCAGTTCAGGAACTTCAGCTTTCCACCATCTGACTATTATTTTGTGCTAGTTGACGTTAATTGCAGAAAGAGTTAGTGTTCTCCAAAATGATTAGTTGATTGGTGGGCCGGAGATCCGCTATGGATAAGAGGAATCATGCTAAGATAAGGGTCGCTGGAAAATTCGGATTATAGATTTCCCGGCAATATGTTCTGTCGTCAGGCCAGCCAGGATATTTATTATTTGCATCAGTAACATTTGCTCATTTCTTAGTTCTCTACTACAAGTTGTCGACATTGATATTAATATGGGTCAGAGTTATGTTCTGGCTTTATTACTTTGTTTTCTATGATGGTAGTTCCAGGAGTCTGTGTCCGTTTTGCCAGCATCTTCCGGCCGTTAATGAAACGTAACGATCCAAAAGGTCATGGCAGCAGTGACAAACCAATGCAGTAAATAAATACTGAACCCAATTTGCCTAAAAAGTCTCCAAGCTAATTAAGAGCCGATAACTATGACATTTCAGAATATGCCAGTCTATTTGCCGAAGGATAGAAGGCTACAGCTGATTTAGTTAAAATAATTAAAAGCTCCCGGGTAGTATCCGAGAGGAACAAGACTTGACCTCGGATGAAACCCGAGCCAAATGCGGGGTGCAGCAGATCCACCAATCGGAACTCAGATATATGGTTTCCGGGGCACTTGGATCTTGGAATTCCGTCTGCGATTGGTAATTCTGATACCTTAAATACGTTGTGAGATGACCTTTTGCACGACAGAGTAGGACGTTTCTTTTACTTACTGCATTGATATCAAAAGTAAATCAACTCCAGCCATGTCGAGAGAGTTTTCAGAGGAGGATATCGCCGTGCATAACAAACCGGATGACTTATGGCTTGCAATCAATGATAATGTCTACGACTTTACGGATTTTGCGCCAGATCACCCAGGAGGCGTTGAGAGTGAGTTGTCATCATCTTTCTGCCATTGCTGCATGTCCATTAGCTAACACGGGAAAGTCATCTACCAATATGCCGGCAAGGATGCGAGTGACGAATATAACAGTTTCCACGCGCCTTCACTTGTACAAAAAGCCCTAGATGCCAAATATCATCTCGGATCCCTCAAAGTGTCCAAAAGCAACAAGAAGAAGCAATTGGAGTCCAATGGGCAAGCAACGAGCAAACCAAGGAATCCCAATGAGAGACCTCCTCTTCGCGACGTAATCAACTTGCACGACTTTGAGAACGTAGCATCAACAGCCCTGGCAAAGAAGGAATACGCGTACATCAGTGGAGGAGCGAACGATAACCTCACCCGTGACGCAAACGCCTCATTTCTCGGACGGATCTGGCTACGGCCGGCAGTCATGAGAGACGTCCGAACAGTCAACACTACAACTGAGCTATTTGGGTGCAATCTCCAGTTGCCAGTATACATCTCACCAACTGGTGCAGCATTGACTGGCGGTGAACAAGGGGAACTCGCACTAGCCAAAGGAGCAGCAAAGACGGGCATCATCCAGACACTGGCGACACCCTCATCCTTCCCGCATGAAGATGTTCTTAACGTCACGCCCGAACGAGCCTTTTTCCAGTTATATGTGAACAAGAACCGGAAGCTGTCAGAAGACCTGCTGAAAAAGGTCACACAAACCGGCAAGATCAAGGCACTCTTCGTCACAGCAGATTTACCCGTCGTGTCCAAGCGAGAAGCTGACGAGAGGGTTAAAA